CTATAAGATTGACGAAAACGCCGAATCGCAACAGTCACATCCCACAGAGTGAAAGTTATAGTTTCTAGAACTGCCCCAGTCAATGACTGGATGGTCGGAAGCGGAGTGGTCGAGTCTTCAATAAACGTTTTGGACAGGAAATCATTGAAGCTATCCGCGGTTAACTGGGCATCAACTATGGGATTTCCGAGATCGTCTCGAAGGATGGGATACTGCGTCTTTCTCTGAGTTCGTATTTTTCTAGAGAAAAGTTTCGAGACACTTAACGAATGTTTTTCGGTAAAGTGGACCTCTTCGGCTAGCTGTTTTTCTTCAGACAATCTCTTAGCTCGATCAAAAATATCACAAATCAAGGGCAAAACAGAAACATCGTTCTGCAGATGGAAACGACGATAAAGCCTGCGCAATCTGCGACGAAAGGGTAAAGGTAGGAAAATCTCATCCCCAACATTAATAATTTTCTTACGGGGGACAAAACGAGAAATAAGCGGACCCAAAATTTCGTACAGTTTTACAACATTTCTGGGAAAAGGCGAGATGTTATCAAGAGTTGCTTCCTTTTGGCGTTCATTTGGTTTTAACAAGAATTCCTCTTTTGTATGTAACTGTTATAACCGACTAATTGTATCGCGCACTAGATGTTTTGATAGACCCGTTCGTGGTGATCATTGACCATGCTTGACTAATTCGAATTCGTTGGCATTTTATGGGGCAGCTGTGTGTGCTGGACCTTGTAAGTTACTTAAGCAGAGCCCCAAACGTTAGAACTAAACCCATGAAATTATCGGACGAGACAGGCAAAGACGCAACTGACGTACTAGTTACAGAATTATTCAGACGACGGCTTGAATAAAAGGATGGAGTGGAGCTGGTAACTAGGCAGGATTTGTGGGGAGTTCAATTAAAGTTATTTTTCCAACGTAGTGATATAGTTACCTAATTGTTTCGTTTGGCATATTTTATCTTCAATTTGTATTGGTGGCCTCGACCATTGGTTGTTCTCGCCAGTTTGAAGAAATCGCCAAATTGAAGAGCACAGTCTAGCCCTCTGACGATCCTAAAGGCCATGATAATATCCCCCCTTCGTTGTCCATAATGGAGAGAAAGTAGTTTCAGCATTTCCTGCCGTCTTTCCCAGGATAAGCAGCTTAATCCTTTGAGCCGCTCGGTTGCTCTTCGTTGTATGTTCTCCAATAGGATGTAGTCTTGTTCGTCCAGAGACACCATGTCTGAACGCAATATTCCAATATTGGTCGAACAAATGCTCTAAATACTCGACCAAAAGGTTCTGTGTCAAAATTGAGGAAGGATCTTCTAATCGCGTCTTGGATAACTTTAGCTTTCTTTGATACCTTGGCGCAGTGAGACGATCGTTTGAGAGTTGACGTCATCCAAACATCGAGGTCTCTTTACTCGTCGGCTGATTCCAATTGGTAAGATTCACATCTCAATGTCCTGCTTTGCTAGATCGTAATCGAAAAAGTTGGCATTTGTAAAAGTTGAGGTTAGGACATCACTCATCACACCACTGATGCAGGCGATTCAGATTATTTTGTAACTGTAGCGAGTCTTCCGGCTTCTCTATTGATTTTCACATCTTGAAATCATCGACAAACATTACGCGCTCGAATTTCAGACAGTCGAGGCAGTCGTTCACACATATTAGGAAAATAACTGGATCAAAAACGACCTGCTGCGGAACGCCCACTATGAACGGATGCCAATTCTGATTTAGCGTTAACGATACACACATGCTGAGATCTGCCCGTAAGAAAACTGGCTGGCGAATTCAGCAGATATCAATTCACGCCAGTTTGACGTACTCTAAATATAAATCGTCCGTGTGGAACACTATCAAATGCCCTTTTGATATCCGTGTACACGGCGTCGACTGATAAACCCATGTCAATTGATTTCGTCCAGCTCTCCATGGATAGTGAGACAGGATCGGCCCCTTCGAAATCTATGCTGATGCAAACTGAGCAACTTGTTTTCTGCAAGATGCTGCATCAGTCCCGTTTTTATTATTTTTCCCATCAGCTTGCAACAGAGGCTTGTGAGACTCACTGATCTGAAATTGTTTGGGCTGTTCTCTCTGATCTTTATATATGGGGCTTATATTTGCTTGCTTCCAGTCGGCAGGCAGGGCTCCGGTCCCTATTGAAGTTTTGAAGATCTTGAATAACGGAGAGGCCAGTTGTATATATGTATATGTATATATTGAAGGGTTACAGACAGAGCCCTTGATGACCCTATTTATGTGCAGTGCTTTCGCAGATTCATACTCAAAAATAAAATAAAATTGCGGGAATTTAAAATGTGATTGGGTCACAGTTCAATCGTCATCATAAGGTTGTGTATAGGGTCACTTTAAATTAGTGCGGAAGATTGTATATGACAGATTTTACAATACTGGCTGTGCATAGTCATGCCGTACAAGCCGATTTCTGTCGAAAACTAGACGAGTACCCGAATCAACGGCAACAATTCCAAAGGAGAGAGTTAAGCATGACTTAGACCTTCTTCAAGTGTATGCGAAAGCATTGTTAAGAGACGATGAGTCACTAAGTGTTCTCAAAGCATTCCGAATAGGGAAGAGTCAGTCAGCATCCGATCCAAATTCCCGGCCTCGACCCCTAAAAGTCAGTTTGGAGACTGAAGCACAGGCCCAGCTCCTGTTACAGAGAAAATCCTCTCTACGGGGTCAGCATCCTGAAGTTTTTTTTTCAGCCGGATTACGAGCCAAAAGAGCGAATAAAAATGAGAGAGCTGATGACGGAGCTG